TTCCAAGAGGCACCTGGGTCACTGGGTGCAGGAGAGAGAGAGCTGCTCGCAAGGAGAGGACTGCACCAGGGAATGCGAGGGTGATGGGTGCAAAGGCGCCGGGGGTGGGGGGAGAGGTCTCCTGGGTCACAGGCTAGCTGGACTCACCCTAGGTGACCAAGGTGGTGCTGTCATCAAAATCCCTGAGCATGCAGCAAGCAGTCAGAAGGACCAGCTCTGCTCCCCAGAGAACGATGCAGGAGGCTGGGGCCCAGCAGCAGCTTGGGGACGTGGAGCTGAGGGGAGTGGAGGGGCAGGTGCGATGCCCACAGCGCCCCCAGGCTCAGTGTTCAACCCGCTTCTACCGAAGAATTCAGAGATAATGTTCTGACCAACCATTTTCCAGTTCTGCCAAGGATGGCACTGGACGACTGTCAGGGTGCGAGGGTGAGACGCCCGGTCCTGACACGCAGAGGAAGCCCCGGTGCTTCACCATCTCCTGCCTGGAGGAGAAGGGCTGGGGCTTCCAGAATCAGGGCTATTGGGAGACCCTGGGAAAAGCCTTCGGGAAAGGCGACTCCTGGTCCTGATGGAAGATGACCGGAGCAGGCAGCACCAGGAAGCACAGAATCCCAAGTCCCAAGAAAGAACTTCTGTAGTACAGGGCCAAGGGATGCCTGGGCACCAGGCAGGTCCAGCCATCTTTCGGGTTTGGGGTTTCTGCATATTTGACCCTGAGTGGCTCTGCCCATAACACCCACGTCATTCACGTGAGTGTGCACACACACACACACACACACTCAGGCCCACTGCTGAGGGCAACCTGGCTGCAGGCCAGGAGGAGGCAATCCCAGACCCCAGCCTCCTTCCACAGCACCCTTGGGAACCGTCTGGCCCAGCCTGTCTGGGAGACCCAGGCGAGCTCCTCGTCCAAGGAACGGCTGTTCCGTGTGCAGCCAGCACAGCACCCGCTCCCCAGAAGCCACCTAATGAAAACCTCCTGTGTAGACCTGGCGGGCGCACGCAGACTCAGGCTGATTTCAGCTGGGCCTCGCGCCCAAGGTATGACCTCACCGTCCGCCAAGCCGTATGGACGCCAGAAAGAGAAGGCTGGTGTGTGGGCCAGACCTGCCCTAATCAGGGCCAGCTGGGATGGAGGGAGGCACGGGGCCACCTCCCCTGCTGTCCCGGATGGCGGGGTCTGTGGTTGGGGGCGGGGTCATCTCACACTAAGAATCCTGAGTCCTGTCCCCCCCAAACACGCCTTTCCTCCTTCTTCCTCTCACCCTTTCTTTTCTTCTCTTTCTTTTTTTGGCATTATTCCCATAAAAATATCTGCCATTCCATATGTTCCATCCCCGAAAGAAACTTGATAGGCAGGACTGAGGCTCTGCACAGGACCCCAGTTACAGGAGGGAGAGGGAGGATATAATTAGATTCTAATATATATATTTTTTTAAACAGAACAGCTCAAAAGGACCCATTAAGAGAAGGACACTGTGAAACAGTCAGTCCCTTCACGCCAGTGCCAGGCTCCCAGAAGTGCCCCTTGCAGGCATCGCTCACAGAACACTCAAGCGTCACGCAGCAGCACGACGCCTCAGCCGCCACGTTCAGCGGACTCTGCTTCCACATGCACCAATGAGCCGCCAGCAGCTCCTGCTTCCTAATCCTGCATGATTTTCATAATCTGGTACTAAGTCTCTTGTAGGCACCAAAACAAAATGTGGAGGAAGCTGTGCTTTAAAAATAAATAAATGAGCTTTGGGTCACTGTGAAACAGCAGAAGACTTGGGATTTTTCTCTACAAGGCTTGCAAGTTCTGCCTTCAGCATTATCGATAAATTGGGAAACTTGAAATCTCTCAGATGGCATCCCAGACAGAGCCTGAGCCTGTGACCTGAGGAGCTCCTAAGATAGGCATCACAGGAGGTCCCATGGGACTGTAGAGGATTTGCAATGATGAAGAGATTCCCGGTGAGCTCACCGGGAATCTCTGCATCATTGCAAATCCTATAAAAAACTATACTTTCTATATTTTCAGGTACCCAAGTACAACCAGGGTCAAATAATATAAATGGAAAATTAAAGAAATAAAAAATGCATAAGTTTTAAACTGTACTATTCTGAGTAGTGAGATAACACCTCACACTATCCCATCTGCCTTGCCCAGGACATGAATTGCCCTTTGGTCCAAGGTATCCACAGTGTATATGCTACCCTCCCATCACTTGGGAGACATCTTAGTTATCAGATGGACTTTCATGGCACTGCAGGGCATTAATCTCTCACTGTACCTAGTTTATGAACTAAACTTTATTGTGGGTATGCATGTAGAGGGAAACTCACGGCATTCATAGGGTCAGTATCATGCACAGTCCCAGGCATCCCATATGGGTCTTGGGACATATCCCCAGAGGATGAGGGGGGACAAGTGCTGCATACATCACAAAGAACAAGAGGGACTTGGCTGGAGACCCTTAAATCTCAGAGAACTGATTTTCCCACAGTAGCCCCGCTCATTGTTACGGAAGTTGCTTATCAATTCCATTTGCATGTAGCCCATTGGGTGAGGAAAATGAAAAGCACCCAATCTTCTTAGCTCCATAAACAGAGGCACAGGTTAAGATCTCTACTGTTTTAAGGAGGAAAGTTTTTCTGCAGACGTATCCCTGAAATGATGATGGAAGTCAGTGGGAGATTTCACTATAAAATATGGGCTTCTTTCCAGCCCTTCAGAGCCATCTCTAAAGCACAAAGAAAGGCCACTTCAGGCCTGCAAAGAGAGAGAGTCACAATCGCTCAGAGCCGGGAGGGCCAGCTGGGAGGGCCAGCCGGGAGGACAAGCTGGGAGGGCCAGCCGGGCCTGCGTATTGACGGACACCCTGACACAGCATCTCCGTGGCTTTGTCAGAGGAGGAATGGCCACAGGGCACCTGCAGGTTGGCCCTGGGCTGCACTCAGTCACCGTCCAGTAGGCCTCGTTGTCTCTTCCCCACTAGTCCAGCAAGAAACCAGGAGGAAGCCACGCTCTTCGGCTAGTCTGCAGGCCAAGCTGACGTCTCTACCTTGGCCCGGATCTGGTCCCCCAAGAGACATGCTGGCCCTCTCCTTGGGTCCCTGTCATCTGGCCCACAAATCACACTCTGCCCCAGGGCACCGAAGGGCCACCGCTCTGGACCCTCTGTGTGGATCCAGGCTGGTCTTTGGAGGAGGAGGTTGTGTCAGCTGACTCAACAGAGGGCCCCGTCCTGGACCTTCTGCAGAGGCCGGGGTACCCGCCAGGAGGCTGGTTCAGGACCAGTCCCACAACTTCAGGGCAAGAAAGAATCTTTTTTTTTCCTGGTGGCTTTTATTTTAATAACTTTTTCTATCATAAAATCAATAAATGTTTGTTATTAAGAAATAGGAATAGAGAAAAACAAAAACATAAGTAGGTCCACAATTTTATATGGAGACATAACTGGATACATCCAAATCATTTTTCTTGTGTATATAGTTATTTTTAAACACAGGGTATGAGCCCTGGCACACCCATATCTAACAACTTACTAATGATAAGTTTCAGTAGCATTAAATATTATAAAATAACTATAGAGAGATGTACATAAGCGACTTAATTACCAATTGTTTTCATTACCTTAAATGTAACTCATACATCACTATGAGGAACAAAGTTGCTATAAACACACACATAATCTTGATCCACATTTCTGACTACTTCTTTGATATAAATTCTCAAAATAGAAAGGCTGAGGCACAGTTTTTATATCTACATGTCTATTTTTTTTCTCCTTTTTGCTTGTTCTTTTAGTTAGCATGATGGTGGAGTGTATCTTGCACACTGTACACACGTGGAGCAGAACGTCCCCTTTCTGTGGTCTTACGTGATGGGCAGCTACAATGGTCGTGTATGCAAAATGGATGATGCAGTCAGCTCTTGGACATTTTATTCCATCACTTTATTGTTTAAATTTGTGTTGATTCTTTGATAGGGATTTGACACACCAGCCCCAGAATGTGGATGGCCAGTGGGGCTGGTTCACAAGGACACTGCCCAAGGAACCAGGCTGGGCGCACCCTGAGGAAGCTGGTGCCTGACCAAGGACGGGCTGCACAAGTCTTAGGGCCGTGTTGCCTGCCACACAGCCACACACGCTCCAACTCACAACCCTGTGAGGTGTTGAGAGGGACGGGACTCTCCCCGTTCAGCAGAAGGGAAACCGAGTCAGAGCCAGAACCCTGCAGCCTGGGTCTCAGAGGCCTCCTGCTGATTCCCCTTCCTCCAGGAAGCCTCCCTGACTCTCCCCAGACGACCACAGCATTTTGCAGCTAGACCCTTCCCCAGTGATGTCCTAAGTAGAGACCCCACACATCAGACGGACATAAAAGAGGTTTCCATTGCCGTACGATGGACCATGCTTTGGCTGTAAAAGGAAGCGCAGCGTCTGTGCCTGGCCAGGGATGAGTCAGGAAGCCCCGGGCCAGGGGAGAGGAGCCGGGCTCAGCGGCCACGGCCGTGTTTCCCGCTCAAACGGAAGGTCTGGCCCCGGCAGACCCAGAGGCAGGACAGAGACTCGGGGCGCTGGGCTTGTGGGTGGAGGGCTTGGGAGGTCGTGGCTAGGAGAGGCGGGGTTTCTCTCAGGAGTGACAGCAAGGCCCTGAACTTGACCGAGCACCAGCTGCACAAATCCCTGAGTTGACTAAGAGCCACAGGGTCCTGTGCTTTACAGGGGAAAATTTCATGGGATGCAAATCCTCTTTCCATAGAGCTGTTTTTGCAGAGAGGGAAAGGAAAGGGGGTGGAATGGCCATGGCCAGGCTCCCTCCTCCCACCTCCTGCAGCAGCCAGAACCACCTCTGCAGGTCCCAGGCCCCTGGGGTTGGTGGAAGCCATGACCTCGTCCGAGCCCCCACTCTTCGGTTAGGAGCCCAGATGGGACCCTGAGTCCCTGGCTGCAAGCTGCAAGCCCCACGGGAGCCTTGGCCGGTTGAGGAGCAGGAGCTGCCCGTGGTCTTACCGTCCATGTCCAGGCGCTGCATGATGATGGCCAGCTCCACCTCGCTCGGCATGTACCCCAGGGAGCGCATGGCCATGCCCAGCTCCTGCTTGGAGATGAAGCCGTTGCCATCTCGGTCCAGCACTCGGAAGGCCTCTCGGATTTCTGAAAGGAAAAGCAAGAGTCCTGTGGTCACACGGCGGGGTTCACGGCAGGGGGACCAGAAATGGCTGTCCCTGGGGGTGATCCATAGCCACCCCTCAACAAATAAAGAGCACCGAGAGGAAAAGGAAACGAGGGGAAGGAGGGAGAAAGAAAAGGAAGGAAAGAGAATGGAGGGAAAAGAAGAAAGAAAGAGGGAGGCCCTGTGTTTCCTAAAACCCTGGGCGGCACAACCGGGCTGCGGTTGGCAATCAGGCCACCCGGGGTGCTTCTGAGCATGCAGAGGGTCACGTTCCAGCAGCCTGAGAAGACTTAGTCCTCAGCCCCAGGAGGAAGGAGATTGAGTTTCCCTCTGCAGACATATTTCAGGTCCCTGCTGCTTCAGGAGCCATGCAGAAGCTTTCCCACCTCCGAGGAGGGCTGGAGTTAAGAACCCTGCTGCTTTTATTTCACTCGCTAATTTACAGTTGTTTTATGGCTATAAACAACCTCAGATCAATAAGAGTGTCAGGAAAGCTCAGAAAGCATCTTTAATCACTTTCCCCTGGGGCTGGCAGAGAACTTGACTCTGCTATCAGCAAGGCCCTTGCACTCAGCCGGCGATCCCCCCGACCCTTTAACCCCAACCAGAGCTGCTCTGAATTCCACCAGCACCGTCCTCCAGCGTCCACGGCGGTGGGTTCAGGGTTGGCCGAGCATTTCCAGCACAGAGCAGCCCTGCGAGGCCGGCCTGGGGAATCTGAGATCTCAGAAGACCAGTGCGTCTTCCATTGCTGCTGGGTCCACCAGACCTAGCACAGGCTGGATGTGAACCCCCTGCCAGCCCAGGAGTGGCAGCTGCCCACATCGGTTGGGCCATGTCAAGCTGTCACATGAGGAGCATGGTTCTAAGTGCCACAGAGAAATAAAAACAATCCACGGGTCATCACGGCTCTCCCGCTCGGTCCAGCCAGGGTGGCAAGAGGCACAGGGAACTCACTGTCACGCCTGAGGTCACACGGACACTCGGCCCTAAACCGCTGGCTGACTGTCCAGCAGATACCCTCCCCTGGACAGCCTTCCCCAAACAGGCTCAGGCTTGTCTTTGTAACTACTATCCCGTGGCTTCAGTGACAAATTAAAACCACAGAAGTCTGTTCCCTAGCAGTCACACTAGACCACAATCGAGGTGTCGGCCAAGGCGGGCTCTGCAGAGGCTCTGGGGAGATCACTCTGTTCTCCAGCTCCAGCGACCACCAGTGGTCCTTGGCTTGCGGTCACTGCACTGTCACCTCCGTCTTCCTCTGCCTCCCTCTTATAGGAACGTGCACATCTAGGGACCGTAATGGCTTGGATCTGAGGTGTCTCCAAAAGCTCGCATGAGACAACTCAGGAGTGTTCAGAGGTGAAATGTTTCCATCGTGAGACCTGTGACCTGGTCAGGGCATTAGTCCACCTGAATGGTGACCTGGGCAGTAACTCCAGCAGGGAGGGTGTGGCTGGGGGAAGCAGGTCTGGGGGCCGCCCTGGGTTTTCAGCTTGTCCCTGGCACCTTGCTCTCCCTCCCCCTCTCTTCTTCCCTCCACCACACGCTCCCTCCAGGAGTTTCTGCCTCACCTCGGGCCAAGAGCACTGGAGTCAGCCGACCACAGACTGAACCTCTGAAACCGCGGACCCAAACTAACTTCCTTCTGTCAGTCGTCCTATCGGGTATTGCGGTCACAGCAATGCACAGAGGACACGGGGACCACCGGATACCCCAGGCTACTCTCCCCATCCCAGATCCTTAACTTAACCATGTCTTGAGAGACCTCTTTCCAAGAGACCATTTACAGATTCCAGGGACAGGACCTGCTGCCCTTGAGACCGCTGTGCGATCTCTCCCCGCTGTCCCACGGGATACAACTGTCCTCCCTCTTTCTTTGCCAAAATAATATCCACTCTTCAAGGCCAAGTGAAGGGCCAGGTCTCCATAGAATACCTTTGCTCAGGACAGCCACCCTCTCTCCGGCTCACTCCGTCCCCATGGTCCTTCTGAAGACACGGTGACTGTGCGATGTGTTATCAATTACCAATACTAATTCAGCTCAATGAATGCTTTCTGTGAAGACCCGGGCTCCAGGGGAGAGACCAGCCTGGAGCTGGGACCCTCGGCTTCTGGCCCGGCCCAGTGGCTAATTAAGTCTGCAGCCAAACCCGGAGGCCCCAGCTGCTCCTGTGTAAAGTGAGCCGGGCTGGCTGCAAGGATCCTTTAAGTCCTACCAGCCCTCCCTGCTGTGGATCTGTGGACACTGTTACAGTGTTCAAAAGAAGAACAGGAAACTGTTCTCCAACATATGCTGTTAATCCGCTTGTCAAAACATCACCCCTTCCTTTCATTGACAGAATAAAATTATTTCCTACAGCCCAAAGTCTGAAGGGAGAAGTCTGTCTGCACCTGTCAGCCTCCTCCATCAACCATCCCGCTCAAGAGGACCTAGGGCAGCCTGTCTTCTCCACCCAGTCCCAGGAGTCCTCAGGAAAGCAGGCACATGCACTCAAGGATACAGGACCCCACAGTCTCATGCAGCCCGAGGCCAGAGCCAGACACCCAGGATGGCGGTGTGCAGAGGAGAGTCTCCCAAAGGACCACAAGAATGCTGGTCCCTGCTCTGCCCAGCGACCGGGGCAGCTTCCCTCAACCTCAATCTCCCCATCTGAAGAATGGGTGAGGGTTGAGCTCCCCAGGATGGGCCACGCCACAGGCGAAAACGACAGTTATGACTCACAGTGAGGGTCATGGGTGGCCAGCTACAGGCTGGACCCTGCCCTTCCTTCTCTGGACAGCTCCTCCTGGGACATCATCTCCACATCCCCCCTACACTCTCTGGGCTGCTGATGTCACCATACGGGATGGTTCCCTGGTGTTGACACAGCCCCGTCTTGTTCCCAAGGTCTCCCTGCACATCCCAGACCTTCCCGTGAACTTACACTGGACACCCCAGAGGGCTGGGGGTGGGGTGAAAGCATGAATGGAAATGAGGATGCCAGCAGCTGTGCCTCCTGTCCCCCACTGAGCTGTCCTGGCTGCCACCAGACCTTCCCTTGGGCTACAGGATTGGGCCATCAAGCAAGGATGGGGTATGGGTGGGGGTCACTCTGGGACTGCCCACTGGGAAGGGCCTGTTCCCTCAGGGCCTTGAATTCCCAGTTGGCTCAGTCTGCAGGAAGTGCCCAGCCAGCCCTGCAGCCCAGCATGGCCAGAGCAGCCAGCTATCAGCCCAGGTGCTCTCCCCCGTGGTCTGCAGGTAAGTAGGTCACAGCTGTCCTCTGTGTACATAGAATATCTGCTGCTGGCCCCCAGGTAGAGAGGGAGCAGGCAGAGAAGGGGGAAACAGGGTAAGAAACTGGAAATCCAGAGTGGATGCCCTGGAGATTCCATCTTTCTGGGTAAGGGAAACCCAGATCGACCAGGGGCTTTATTGGAAGGAAATGAGTCTCGCAGTCTGTGAGAGGCGTGGGATTCGTGCCTCGTTTTATTTTTAATAGCAGAACAGGGTGTGAGAACGACGCCATAAAACCAGCGGAGATGGTGGGGCAGGCGGGATGTCTGCTGGGCTGCAGGCGCGGCTGGCAGTACCGGCGGGCCCTGGCCACCTTCCATCCTTGGAAAGAGGGGCCCACAGATCCTGCGAGCAGAAATGGGCTAGCCATGCTGCGAGGTGTTCACGGGATTCGTCTCCTGGGGGCTGAGGACCCTGGAGGGCAAGCCGTGCTCTGGGTCTTCAGTTCCACTTTGCTTCTCAACCTCACACAACACGAGGGGCACCAGGAGCACACTCTTGCCACCACCCCCAAGACACCCGTGAACCAGAGGAGGCCTGTCTTGGACAGCAGCCATCCCGACTGTCCCTGTACGGAGTGCGGGAGACACATGGGAAGATGCATCTCCAGAAGGAAGAATCCAGTCACTGCTTATGGAACCTTCCAGAATCAAAGTCTGCTTTCCCATGGGGACCTGGGCCTCTCCTCCTGGAGCCATGTGCCCTGAGGCCAGCAAGGCCGCAGAGAGCAAAGGTCCTGTTCCGGAGCCCAGGGGGTTTACTTCTCATTTTGCTGGTTACCCCTTTTCTCTTAAAACACATGCATGTCCGCCACGCATACTATTTGCCTTCTGAGACTCCAGCCTCGGCCGCAGGAGCCTTCCTAAGGACACAGCTGATTCAGGCAGGGACAATGACAAGGACACCTGCCTTGGAGAGCAAGACCCATTTTTCAGATATCAGAGGAGGTCCAGACGCCAGCCAGTCAATGTTAGTTGACCAACGTTTTGGCTTTGAAGAACCAGCCGACATTTACAGCACTAATTCCCAGCCTCAACTCAGTAATAGCAGTTTTTCTGAACTCCACCCCATAGATACAAAACCCATTATTCTCCACGGAAGCGTGTCTGCAGGAAGAAGGGGGGCTCCGAGCATGTTAACTGATAGCTCTGTTAACAGACGCCTGGCTCTGCGGACACACATCACGGAGGACTTGTGGACGTGGACATGGCTGCAGTTTGGTGAGGCTGGGAGGGTAATTACTAAACCACAGAGTGCAGGACACCAACCCCAAGGCCTGCACTCAGGAGACAGTGCATTAGGTGGGACTGAGCCAACAACAAGAGAAACGGGGAAGGTTTCCACCTCCTTTAAGAAAGGCAAAGAAAGAAGAATATTTGAAGATGATTAATACAACCAACCGCTCATCCAGCCAACATTTACAGCACTAATTCCCAGCCTCAACTCAGTAACGAAGAACAGCAGTTTTTCTGAGCTCTACCCCGTAGATGCAAAACCCATCTAATAAGCTGCTGTTTGCTTATTATCATAGGCCAGATGCTACGCTAGAAAGCTCACAGAAGCACTTCCCAGGCTGCGAGAACCCAGTATCCTGGTTGGAGAGACGGAGAGGTGACCAGATGTTCATGAGCGAGGAAGACAGGTGCAATGATACACGTCTGTGCAAAGTGGAGAGAGACACTGGGCACAAGGCTGCTGGAG